GCTGACAGGGAGACAGGAAATTGGAAGTTAGCTCTGAACTGACGTTGGGATTGTGAGTTTTGATTCTTTGCCAAGTCAACCCCAATGCTCAGTCGCTTTAACGCCAGGAGACAGCAGGAGGCAGGGATCGTCTTGAGTAACTGCTCCTGGTGTTTTGAATGTCTGCGCTCCGCACATTATATGCACTAATGCTTAGGGTCCTGAGGCAGCGACTGTGGGCTGTCCTGCATCTCCCCTGGCTGTCTGGAGGACTCCAGATAGAAGAACTAGTCGCCCAGGAGTTGGGCTGGGCTATGGCAGGCTGGCTTCCCTTCTTTTCCATCACTTTGATCAGATCTACTCATGAAATCTATGCCAAGGGCTGAACTCATACATTACCACACACCACCACCACCCACCCCCAGGCAGCTCATTCATTCTGTACCAAAACCTGGACCCTCTTAAACAACAGCTGCAGAAAGGACAAGGAAATGCGGGAAGGACAAGGGAAAAGGGACAGATGCTTTCAAGGCACTCAGAGGTCATTCCCATCAGCCACCCTCTCACCCTGCCCCACCCCCAAGACACCTCTAGGTAAAACCAGGGTCTTAACACCTCACTGAGCAGGACTCAGCCCTGGCCAGCAGGTACTCACTTCTGCCTGTTCCTCCACAGTAACCCCCATCTCATAACATGGGGAACAGGTAGCTTGTGGGGTATTCCCGTGAGCACTGAGGGCGTGAGCCCCACTGCTGGCGAGCAGGGTGATGGAGGGGAGCTTTGGAAACAACTTCAGACCCAGCACTTATTAGCACAGTGCCCTCGGCCCAGGGAACCTGCACTCGGGACTCACTTCCTCTTCCAGGAAATGCAGATGCCATGAGCCTGCAGGGGTTCCCTGAGGACCAACTCAAAGTTCAAGAGCACAAGCTAGTACAATACCCAACACACAGTGTTAGTTTCCTCCCTGCTCTTCCCCAGCACCACACCCCGTCCCATTCTCTCACTGCCCCGCCATTCAGGATGTCAGAACAGTTTCTTCAGGCCTGGGTGCGTCTCAGGATGCCGGGCTGCCCTCCAGGGTGGCCTTCTCGGGCTGGCCAGTCTCCTCCCCCAGGCCTCAGCATCACCAAGCTGCCAGTGATCTGTGGGAGCCCCAAACACAGCCGAGGAAGAGCACACACGCACAGGCCTCAGGGTTTCCAGTTCACTCTGTCACAATGGGATTTACTTCCACCCCAGGGACCCTCGGGCTAATCAATGAACCCTTAATGACAAAGCAACAGGCTAACACTTGGTTGTAGCATGTTTAATTTGTGCTGCCCACGCTGGACACTGCATAGGTGTCAGCCCCCTGAGAGCACCCCACCTCCCCCGCACAAAGGATCAGGAGAATGAACATTCAGAGCCAGGGAGGGAGGTAAGAAAGGTGTGTAAGTGACCTTTGACCACTTCTTTTCCACTCAAACTCAGGAGGGGCAGTGAAGGGTGACGGATAACAAAAAAAGGGGCGACGTGATTACACCCATGGTACTCAACTGTTCGCCGCAGGAGGGGAAGCCTGAAAAAGGCTCAGGATGCTGGCTGGAGAGAACCTTGGAGAGAAGCTGAGACAGCCAGAGGCTGGGGCAGCAGCATCCTTATTGCTTTCTGTGGGAGGTGAGCCCTTTGCAGCTCACCTCAGGCAGCGAAAACCAGAGTGACCATCAGGGTGGGGAGCATGCTCTGGTGGCCCCCTTTCAGGCAACAGAGACCCCAGGGGCGCTGCTGCCAAGCTGCCCATCCTCACCACTGCTGGGACCACTGAGTTGACCACCATTCCCACCGTCCCTTCAGGTGACCACTCTTTGTTCTGCTGATCAGAGTCCATCCTGTTTGGTAGACAGCAAATGCTGGACTTCACTTTCTTCTGTCCTGACAGACAGGTGCACACTTAGGAGGCAAGCAGCAGGTAAGGGGAAAGGGACACAAGTGACATGTCCAGCTGGATTTTTTCCTGGGGTATAAGCAAAAGGAAGAAAGACTAGGACAGAGTCTCCCCAGAGGAAGCTCTGCGAGGCATACACCACGCTCAGAGCCCAACCTTGCCTGCCCTCTGGCTGAGTCATTCAAGGCTCAAGTCCACAGGAATCAACAAGTCACCAGAAAGGACCAGAAGACACAAGAGCAGAAGAGCTGAAGCTCTTGGCTTTGGTGCTTAAGTGATGAGGTGTTTCAGTCACACACACTCATCAGGATCTGAGGAAAGGATGCCATGCCAGCACACCCACCAAGGGGGGCTCTGACTCACAGTGCGCTAGAAAGGGTCCCCTCTCCGGTTGGAAAGGCAGCATCCTACTGTTGGAGGTGTGAGGTCCAGACAGCTCCCCCACCTCCTGCCCTCAGTAACATGCAGAGAAAACAGCTGCCCACCCCACCCCGCCCCACTGCTCTTCTAAGGCCTCGAGATAAAACCCCTGAAAGGGGGAGCTTCCGCTCTTGTGTAACTGTGGGGCTTCCAGACGGTTAGCTATTGTACAAGGGAATCACTCGGGTGATCTCCTGCCTGCAGATGGGGCACTGCTTGGGCTCTGGCAAAGCGCGGTAGCACTCAGTGCAGGAACAGACGTGCCCACACTCCAGAAAGACGCAAGACTTGAAGTTGCTCAGACACACGACACAGGTGCTCTTCAGACTCTCCCTGTCCTCAGGCTCGGCTTGGCTCAGCAGCTGGGCCTCGCGCTCCCGGAACTCCTTCTCCATCTGCTTGAGGCGCAGTCGCTCCTGCCACTGCAGATACTGCTTTCTGAGGATGAAGAAGAGAGCAGCACACGCGGCAAAGCCAAACACCAGCGTCAGGACCTTCCAGAGCCTGACACTCGACTCCTGCCTCTGCAGCAGGCTGTCGAAGTCCTGGCTGCTCAGATAGTACTGCATGCCCTGCTTGGGAGGCTGCAGGCGGATTGAGTTGTTGTCCAGGACCAGTTCGCCCACCCCTGTGAGGGTGGCCCCAACCTTCAGCATCTCCTCGGTCTCCTGGATGCCTTTGGGCCGCTCACCACTGATGAAGTGGCCGATGGCATCAGTGAAGGACTGGATTGAGGGGTGGAACTTCTCGTACACAGTCTCCAGGCCCAGATCCTGGGAGTCCAGGGGCTTCAGCACTCGCACAGCCACACCCACGCCGTCCTCGTGGGGCACCAGGTCAAAGGGCACCGTGTTGGTCCTCTGGTGAATGATCTTTGAATAGTCATTCCTAAAACAGTAAGAGAGCTCAAGATAAAGTAAAGGACAGCAAATACCTCACGCCAGGCAGAATGGAGGTTGCATAAACGCCAAGAGGACAGGATAAAATCTGAAGTAACTGGAAGAGAACAGAAATCACTCTTATCCAAGGGCCTCCACTTGTTAGAGTCTCAGGCCATATGAGACGGTGACAAATACCAGCAGAGATCACCTCTACCATTTACTTCCTTTTGCCACTCTAAAATAAATATCCAGTTCTTTAAAAAACTAAAACAGAACTACCAGATAATCCAACAATCTCACTTCTGGGTATTGAACTGAAATCAACATCTCAAAGAGAGATCTGCACGCCCATGTTCACTGCAGCATCATTCACAACAGCCAAACACGGAGGCAGCCTAACTGTCCCCTGACGGATGCATGGATAAAGAAATGCGAGACACACACACACTCAGGAATATTACCCGGCATGAGAAGGCAATCCTGCCACATGCAACAAGATGGATTAACCTGGACAGCTCTATGCTAAGCAAACTAGGCCACTCACAGAAGGACAAATACTGCGTAATTCCATTTATACAAGGTTTCTAAAATAGTCCCAATTACAGAAGCAGAAAGTAGAATGGTGGTGGCCAGGGGCTGGGGGAGGAGGGAGAAAATGGAGGTTGCTGTTGAACGGGTATAAAGTTATACACGATGAATGAATTCGAGAGATCTGCTGTACAACTTTGTGCCTATAATTAATGATACTGTATTGTTGTGCTTAAAATTTTGTTAAAAGGGTAGATCTTGTGTTAAGTGTTCTTTTATTACAATAAAAAATAAAATAAAATAAATACAAAACAAAAACCCACTAGGATGATTTAGAAAAACTGTACTCCATTTAACAGCAAAATAATCCACAAAATCATTTTAATAAATACTGAAATCATTAATCCATGCCATAAATCAGTAGTTTCAACCTTTAGTGAGCATATCAACAGATTCCGGGCCCCTGTCCTGGAAATTCTGTTTGGCAGGTCTGGAACGAGCCCAGGAACCTGCACTTGAACAAGATGCCTAGGCAACTGAGTTAAGAGGTCCTCAGATCACACACAAGAATATTTTCAGCATTAAGAAAACAGTCTACACCCTGTCTCGGGAGAAGCTGACTGCCGGGTTTTCGGCCAGTGGAGAAAGGCAACATACCAAAGGTGGGTTGTTCGGTTCCACACCATCTTGTGCTCCTGAAGTGTCAGCCGCTGAATCACCCCCTTGCAATTTTCCACAAACTGGCTGTTAAGCGTTTCTTTAACAGATCGAACAGCTCCTAAATGGAAACCAATTATTTTATTTCGGAAGAACTGTTCTGCCCTACCCTTTAAGGTCATTTAAATTTTGTTTTGAGTTAGTTTCATTAATCAAAATGATGACAACTGTGATCACCACAAGTTATGTTTTGTGGGCTCTCTTCCAAGCACTACAACAACCCTGTGAGGTAGAAATTATTTTAGAGATGGGGTAACAGAGGTTCAGAGAGGCTGGGTAATTTCCCCAAGGTCACACTGCAATAATCCAGGTCTTTCGACCCCAACGTCCAAGTTCTGGACCACTGCCCCAAGGATACAAAAGGCCCTGGATACCAGCCAACAACAAACTTTTAGAAGAGGAAGTTACTTTTCATTTTACCAATAAACAAACATACCTTCAATAACAGCATAAGGCACACATTTTCCTGGAGCTTCGGAAAGGATATTCTTTAAATCTTCACCCAAGTGGATTCTTTTAGCTCCCTAAATGCAAACAACATATTAAACTCACTATTGAATACTGACATGTTCAACCAAACTTAAAGGGCAAAAGAGAAAAAGACTATTTACTCTTGTCATGCAGAACGAATGAGGAAACCAGACAGGAAGGAGACTATGGGAGGGAGATTCAGGCTCCAAAGCTGTGTCCAAGAAGTTTTAACATGTAAACAGGCATGGGCAGTGCCTCCCTCTGCCATCTGCAGAATGGGGGTGCCACGTACATTCTTTCTCCAGGTAATGGAAACATAGACTCCTTTTCATCTCCATTTTTTAAACGAAAAGAACGAATCAATTTGCATACCACAGACCGAACATAATTTAATCTCTTGACAATACAGAATCATGAACCCAAAGGTTTGTGTGTAAAACACCTAAAGGAGTGCCTAGTACACGGTAGGGCCTGGAGCAACAGGAGGCACCATTACCACCGTACCTTTATGAATTCATGCTCTGCATTCTACACCATTATAAAGGGGGGCCTCTGCTTTATAAGGCGAGGCTCTGTTAACTGGTGCCAAACACTGTTCTATTTTCAGTCTGTCTTTCTTCCCTCTCATAAGCAGGTGAGCATGGTGACGTCTGCTGCGGTCTTCCTCTGATAACCCCTAGTTCTCCCACCCCTTCCAATTCAGAGTTTCCAACCTGCTGTGCTTGGGAACCAAGCAAGCCTGTTACTACTGTATCAAAAATACGAGAAAAGTAATAAAATCAATAAACATTTCCTGAGCTTCTATGTGCCAGATTCAGTGCTGGGTGCTAGGAATTCAGGGGTGAATGAATGACAGTTCCCATCTTCAGGGTATTCCCATCAACAAATCTTAAGGATGCCAGATAAGTAACCTCTAAAAAGGAGATGAGATACTGAATACATATTAAGGTCATGCTAAGATTAAGCTACTGCTACACAGTAAATGACAGGAGCAAGGTCAATAAACACTTACTAACCACCAACCCTGTGAAGATAATAATAAAAAGTAACAGCAATAACAACTAACACAGTTTATTTACTTGTTGTATTATTTATCTCTCTCCACTAATAGTCTCTAGGAAAGTTAGAGCCCTGTCTGTCTCACTGCTGTCGCACTAGTGCTCACACAGGAGGCACTCCATTATGAATTTGATAACTAAATAAGCACTTAGATATACTACACAGCAGGCACTATGCTAAGCATTTTAAATGCATAAATCCATTTACTGTATATACCATCCTTATACAATAGACATTATTATTCTCAATTACAGATAAGAAAACTGAGGCTCCGAGAGGAGAAGTGACTTGTCCCAAGTCACAGAGCGGGGAAAGTATCCACCACAGAATGGCCAGTTAGAATTTTTTTAAAGGGCTGGAGGGGGAGTATGGTCAGAAAGACATGGGGTTGAATCAAGCTCTAAGGCATTTATTGTGACTTCAAGCAACTTAATTTATCTAAGTCTCCGTTTCCAAGACTGCAAAAGATGGGGAGGAGCTCACAGAATTTTTATGTGGATTATATGAACCTTAAGATGTGAATCTAGCCCAGAGGCTGGCACACAGTAGGCATGCAATAAATATGCATTCCCATCAATATCAGAGATACACAGCAATAACACACAAACCCAACTACGGAAAATAGAATTTAAAATATTAGGAGCCCCCTGACCGGCCGGGTGTGGCTCAGTGGTTGAGCATCAACCTAGGATCCAGAAGATTGAAGTTTGATTCCTGGTCAGGGCACATGCCCGGGTTGTGGGCTCAGTCCCCAGTTGGGGGTGTGCAGGAGGCAGCCGATCAGTGACTCTCTCATCATTAATGTTTCTCTCTCTCCCTCTCCCTTCCTCTCTCTGAAATCAATAAAGATGTTAATTAATTAATTTAATATTAGGAGCCCCAAATATTTTTCCAAAAAGGGGATATTTCATCCTGGTTTAGGAACTAATGAGCAAAGCTTTTAAGGTCATCCAAAGACTGGTCCTGGAGAGTTCACTGTTTCAAAGAATCCCACATCAGGCCCACTTGACGCTAACTTGGTTTGAGTCAGAAAGTGAGGTATCAGTTACACTCATAGCCAATCACTTCAGGAGTAACTTGGTTATTTAACTAGGCGAACAATAGGGGAGCTGGAATCTCACTAGGATCCCATTCGCACCGCAAATTCAGTTGCTTGGTAACTTGGTTCACTCCATACAGATTCCAAAACTCCCCTCACAGGGGGAATTTCACACATTTGCTTTTAAGCCCTTACTGCAAACAATCTGATAATGAAGCCGGTAGGTGCAGGAATCCATCTTTCAATTAAACATCTGATTAAGCCCTAACTGTTGTAGTGTAAAAACTTCAGCCAAAACGAATCACAAATACTTATTGAGCATCCCTCACTAGTCCAGCACTGAGTTGGAACCTAGAAAGAATGAAGAAAGATAAGTAACCTAACGTCTCTAACCTACTGAGGTCCATCTCCTGTGGGCCAGTCAGGCATTCACAGTAAAGCAATGTCATCAATCAAAAAAAAAAAAATCCTACAAGCGGAATCAAAAGATCTTAAGTTTAAGTTCCAACCTAACTGTAAGACCTTTCCTCTGAGTCTCCATTTCCTGATTTGCAATCTGGCGGTTAAGTTTCACTTTCTCTTCCTCAAAAAATTCTGTGAAGAAAAATACAACAAGATGGGAACATCTTATATAAGCTGTAAAGTGCAGCTCAAGAGTGTTATTTTTAAAATAACAAATATAAAAAAGGAAGAGTCTGTAGACGCGCGGAGCTGAGTAGCTCCGTGAATGAATCAGGTCTCCGGTCTCCGGTCTCCGCACTTGCTGTTCCCTGTCTGAACTGCTCTTCCCCTAACACAGCTGCAGGGCCTCCCTCACCTCCTCCTGGGCTCTGTTCAAATGTCACCTGATTTAAAATAGCAAACCTCCCTTCCTCCAGCATTACATTTCCTCTCCTCCCTGCACGACTGCTGTATTTGTCCCCATCTGCCATACCGTCTGATTTATTTGTTCGCCGTCTGTCGGGCTGTAGTAGAACCGAGTCTCCATGAGGGCAGGACTTTTACCTGTTCTACCCATGCGATACCCCGAGTGCCTGCCGCTAAGCGGGTTCAATAAACACTTGTCGCATTAAGTATTGAAGTGAAGATCCATTCTGAGCCATGGGAGGGCCTTGGCAGAAAGGGGGTCGTGAAACAGTTATCACGAGACCCGAATTCTGACCCTAGTTCCTCCACTTACTGCGCGGGTGACACCCTCCCTTGGCCTGTTTCCGCTTTTGGATACTTTCCGACCGTGCGGCGCGGCCCCAGGCGAGCTGGGGGCGCCCCGTCACCGGGGGCAGAGAGGCCCCGGCTGGGACGGGCCGGCTGCGGCACTGACCTTGAGCTCTTGGGCGACCTGGGCCTTCCGCCGGTACACGGAGTACAGGCACGCGGTGACGACGGAGCTGGTGCCCAGCAGGATGAACTGGCCCAGCGAGGGCCGCCCCCCGTTCTCCATGGCCGCGCCGCGCCGCGCCCCGAGGGCAGGAGGGGACGCCGAGGTCAGGCCCCGCGACCCCAGCCCGACACCTCCCCCGACCTCGCTCCTCCCGGGACCGCAGCCCCCAGGAGACCTTGCCCGGAAAGCCGCGTCGGGTCGCCAAGCGATGGCGTAACGCCGCACCGGAAGTGGTGGCGGAAGGAGCAGACCGGAAGGCGGCGTTGCCAGGGTGATCGCGGCGCTGCCAGAGGCGTCCCCA